AATCGTTGTCTTCTGCTGAAGACGCTGGTGCCACAACTCTTAGTGCTGAGTCCTTGGTGCTTTCTTCGTGGCCACACAACGAAATATCCACAGAAGTTGAGCCTACCCTGGCCACAGGTCAGCCAAAACACAGGTCCACTGGGGGCACCGTCGTGGAGGCCGTCAACCACACGTCCAGCTGGTCTGCTGGCAGGTACTGAGCCACCAAGGCTGGTACGGCCACTCCACGAACGATATAAGGGGTACGCCCTAGACAGGAGTCTCGTGTGATATCACAAATCACCCTCCTGTCCTCAATACCCCAGTGGATGATCGTCTCCAACAGTCGGTCCCGGGTAAATCCTCTTACTGCCACTCCACTGGCAGGCTAACACATCACAGTGTTCTTCCGGGGGGACGACTTCACAACAGCTGCAGCAAACTTCACAGTATGGAGACTGGCTGCCTCGGGTAGACTGACTCAACCTTCAACACAGTGGTCCCAGGTCGACTCTGTAAACAGACACGTCATCAATAACTGGGACACTAAAACACCTCACTTACGGGTTCGGGCGCAAACACCTGACGTATCCAGTCCATAGATGGCGCTGTCGTCGGAGCACCACCTCACCAGAGGTCAGGAGCGGCTGTGTTGTGAGCTGCACAGGACTGGAAACTGGCCCTTGTGGCCGATATTCGCCGTCCTCATCCGGTGTCGTCGTTCGTTTAGCGGGGGTTTCGGGAGCTGACCCACAGATGGCGTAGTCGTTGCTGCTCCTTGCTCGGACGCTGGATCCGGGTTCGTAACAGGTGTCTATCGAGTTAAATCAGCTTAGATGGAAAGACTCTCTACAGCGTGTTCTGATGTTATTGTCTCAGTGTGTACGTGTCGACGCTCGGGGGAGACGAATGCAAATGTTTGATGGTTCTATTTATGTTTAAGGAATAGAGTATTAAGCTATATTCCCAGTGTTGAAAATTATATTCAGTCTTAATGAACACTTTTTTATTAAATTTAAACACTAGACTGTAGTATAAAAAGATTTAGGAGTAATGCAGATACGTGCCGTCGATGACGTCATGGAATTACCCACTCTTTTTTTTCTTTAAGGGGATACTCAGGTTATTATGTGTGTGTCGGATTTCCGACAGCGGGCTCCGATGGCATTCATTATGAGATGCTTCGCCATCTCCCTCCGTGCACGTCTCAGTATTTACCGAGTCTGTATAATCGGATCTGGGACTCGTCGTCAGTCCCTGAGGACTGGCTCGATGCCATTGTCCTCCCTGTTCGCAAACCAGGGTCTCTGGGAACGTCCCCTAAGGACTTTCGCCCTATTGCCCTCACAAGTTGCGTCTGCAAACTCTTTGAACGTATGGTTAACGTTCGTCTGATGTGGTTCCTGGAACACCATCACTTCCTCTCCCCTTCTCAATTTGGTTTCTGCAAGTGCCACAGCACAACAGATGTTCTGGTGAACTTGGAGGTCTATATTCGCACTGCTTTTGCTGCGAAGACCTCCGTTGTTGCCGTCCTTTTTGACCTGGAAAAGGCTTACGACACCACTTGGAGATATCATATTCTATCCCAGCTTCATTCTTTTGGCCTTCGTGGTTGCCTCCCTCTCTTTCTCCGCAGCATTCTCTCTCGTCGTTCCTTTCGGGTGAGGCTCTCTCTGCCCCTTTTCAGCAATAGGAAGGTGTTCTCCAGGGTAGTGTTATGAGAACTACACTTTTTCTGGTTACCCTCAATGGTCTTCTTTCCTCTCTTCCTTCAGGCGTCTTTTCCGCTCTTTATGTCGATGATCTTACCCTTTGCTGTCAGGGTGATGATTCGCCTCTCCTTCAACGCCGGCTTCAACTTGCGATTGATGCCGTGTCATCATGGGCCACCGATCATGGCTTCAAGTACTCTACTACTAAGACTTGTTCCATGACTTTTACTCGGAAACGGGTCGTTCTTCGTCCCTCTTTGTCACTTTATGGTCGTCCCCTTGAGTACAAAGATTCCACGAAGCTTTTGGGGTTATTCTTTGACACTCGTTTGTCTTGGTCTCCCCATATCTCAACCTGAGATATCTGAGAACACCTCAGACGTCGATTCGTGTAGAGGGCGTTGAGGTGCTGTGTGCAGGTGCGCGGCTGGCGAGTCGCCAATCAGAGGCAGGCAAGCTGGTGAAGGATAGTTAGCTGGTTTGATGACGAGCCGGCGTGTGGAGGGTGTGTGGAGTAGGGGATCTTGGATACGTTTTGCCTCCTGGTCAAAACGTTTTGTGCTACTGGTGACGTATCTTGAATGTAGCATCTTATACTAGTGTCTTTGGCGTAACTTAAAGTAGGGAAGAGCAGGCTCAATCTCTCTTGAAAGTGATTATCGTCACAATATATATACATAATATAATATAATATATATATATATATAATAAATATTACAAACAACAGAGGTACTCCACTTACAACATTATCCCACTCTGACTTTACCCCATTTACACTAACTCTCTGTTTCCTTTGGAATAGCCATGCCCTAATCCAACTTAATATAGCACCCCTGAGCCTCTATCTTTTTAATCAGTCTTTCATGTGACACTGTATCAAAAGCATTGCTAAATTCATGTACACAACATCACAATACTTACCACTATCAACTGCCTCAACTACGCCTGAATAAAAAGATAGCAAATTTGTTAAACATGAACGGCCATTTGTAAAACCATGTTGCGACTCATTTATTAATTTGTTTTTCAAGATGAAGACGAATTGTATTTGCAATTATCGATTCAGGTATGTTTCCCACAATAGACGTTAGGATAATTGGCCGAAAGTTTGACGCAAGTGATCGATCTCCTTTTTTAAAAATTGGCACTACATCTAATAGCAACTCTGGCACTCTGCCTGACTCTAATGATTTATTAAATATGGTAGACAATGGATAGCAAAGCTCCTCTTTGCATTCTTTAAGCACCCTGGCAAACACTTCATCTTGCCCTGGAAATTTGTTTGGTTTTAGTTTTACTATTTGTTTAAGCTAACATCCTCCCTAGAACAAAGGTAACTGTAACTGCTAAACTCTCATCTCGTCAACCTGTCCTCGTCCCACCCCAAATGTGCTACATATAGATCTTGTTCGGCTGAAGGCATATTGTTAAGTTCCTCTTTAGTAAATACAGATACAAAATATTTATTAAAAATACTACTCATCTCATCTCTTCATCACTATCTGTTATTTGACCTGTCTCAGTTTTTAATGGACCTATCCTTTCCCTAGTCTTAGTACGATATAACTGAAAAACCCTTTAGGATTTGTCTTTGCTTGCCTTGCTAGGCGAACTTCATAGTTTCTTTTTGCTTTCCTTATCTCTTTTTTAACATTTCTAACCAGTTGTACGAATTCCTGTTCTAAAGTGACCTCCCCATTTTTAATTCTTTTGTACCAAGCTCTCTTTTTACCTATAAGGTTCTTCAGATTCTTTGTTATCCACTTTGGGTCATTAGTATTCGATCTATTCAATTTGTATGGTATACTACGTTCCTGTGCTTTGTTTAGAATATTCTTAAATAAGTTATATATTGAATCCACATCGAAATCCCCATTTAAGTCACCTATCGCTGGGTTCATGTCTCGCTCCAAGACCGGCCCACACCCCATACCCAAGACTTTCCAATCAATTTGACCCAAAAAATTTCTTAGGCTATTAAAATCAGCTTTTCGAAAATCTGGCACTTTAACAGAATTTTCTCCTACTGGTCTATTCCATTCTATGCTAAATCTGATTTCTTTGTGATCACTGCTCCCTAGCTCACTCCCTATTTCGATGAGAATTGAATTTAATGCCCTATGCCGAAGACTTTCCAATCTTTTTGACCCCCAAAAAATTCTTAGGCTATTGAAATCAGCTATTTGAAAAATCTGGCACTTGAACAGAATTTTCTCCTACAGATGTATTACATTTTGTGCTAAATCTGATTTCTTTGAGATCGCTGTTCCCTAGCTCACTCCCTATTTCGATGTCATTAATTTGTGTTTCCCTGTTAGTTAACACTAAATCTAAAATATTATTTTCCCGCGTGTTGGCTAAGAAAGCAATCGTCAATTAATTCTAGAAAATCTTCTGCTTTATTATTCCGTGTTCTGTTAAACCAATTTATTCCACTAAAATTAAAGTCACCCATGACACAAATATTGCTAGATCTAAATTCTCTAGATATTTCATCCCATAGGTGCTTTGCTCCCATCCTGTAAGAGTTTGGTGGCCAGTATATATCTCCTATTATAAGATTATATGCTCTTTCTTTTAATTCTATCCAAATAGTTTCTGTGTGTGACTCAAGTTTTGATTTCCTCTTTGAGTCTATATTTCAAATTTTCCGTAACATTTATGGCTACTCCCCCTCCTCGTCTAATGTAAGTTTAAATTCATTTATTTGATATTCACCTAATAGTTCTCTATATTCTACATTCATCCACGTTTCGGTAAGTGCATAATAATATCTATTTTTTCTGTGCAGACAAGAGCATTTAAATCGTTTATTTTGTTTCTTAGACTTCTACTGTTAGTGTAATATACCCTAAGTGTATTGTTATTTTGAGCTTCTTCTCTTTCCCTGATCATTTTGCCAATTTGTTTCTCCCACAAACACATACTTTTATTGCCTCCTTCCTCCATATCAATTCCCATACCACTATCTGCTAACAGTTTAAACCCAAACCCAAACAACCGCCTCTAACCACTGGTTCCAACGAGTTCGCAACAACTACAACAACCCCAGCCCTCGATAGATGCACCCCATCCCGAGCATATATTTAATTTCTCCCATAGAACTGTTCCCAGTTATTTATATGCAGCCCAGAGATGGGAATGGAGACATTAGGTAGAAGGAAACTGGAGCAGTTCCTCCACTTCCTTCCTTAGAAAACGCGGACTCATCAATTAATCTAATTTTTCCTTACAATAATATAAGCAACGTGTTTTAGAAAGTTCTAAGCTATGTCATTTTAAACCTAACAATCATTTTTTCTTCAGGAGGATGGACGGTGTTCGTCCAGAGAGACACTAAAGTTGTTCCTGCGGTGAACTTCACCAGAGACTGGGAGGCCTACAAGACCGGCTTCGGTAACGCCTCCACAGAGTATTGGTTAGGTAAGTGGAAATACTGAGGTTAGTACTGGCCGGTGCCTTCCCACCTTCGTTTCTCCTGCAGACTCACTCACTCACTCCTACTTAGTCATTAACTGTCATTTACACACTCATTAATTTTCACCTGAATTCAGTTCAGGAGAATTGAACTTCCCAGCAAACATTTTCTAGGTTTCAAAACGTTTGAAAATGATATTTTATTGTTTTAATCACTTTTTCTAATTCTGTTTTATTCATTTTTTAGAGAATTTGTTAAAATAAAAATAAAACGGGAGACAATAATGTTTAATAAAAAATTAATGTTATCATATGACGTTTTAGAGCAAAGGTTTTATAAACGTTTATGATAATTATTAATTATTGGAATTATTACTTTTAATTATCTCGGTTGCATTTAAAGAGACAGAAAGAGATAGACACATAGTTAAAGGAAGGAAGAGGAAGAAGGAGAAAGATGCAGAGAAAGCGACAACCCATAGAGAAAGAGGAGTGAAACAAAGAGAGAGAGAGAGAGACAAGGAGAGAAACAAAGAGAGATATACAAACAGATAGTAAGAGAGAGAGAAAGAGAGAGAGAGAGAGAGAGAGAGAGAGAGAGAAGAGAGATGAGATGTAGAGAGAGAGAGAGGAGAGAGACAGAGAGCAGAGACACAGAGACAGAGAGTGGAAGAGAGAGACAGAGAGCAGAGACACAGAGACAGAGAGTGGAAGAGAGAGACAAAGTTAGAGAAAGGAGAGTGATATAAACAGAAGGAGAAGGAAAGACACAGAGAAAGAGAGAGAGAGAAAGCGAGAGAGAGAGAGAGAGAGAGAGAGAGAGAGAGAGAGAGAGAGAGAGAGAGAGAGAGAGAGAGAGAGAGAGAGAGAGAGAGAGAGAAAGCAGATAGAGAAGAGAGACAGAAGGAGAGTAACAAAAAGCGGAGAGACCAAGAGAAGAGAAGCAGATAGGTGAGAGACACAGGGAGAAGGAAAGAGACAGACACAAAGAACATGAGAGACAGGAGACAGATAGAGACCGAAGGAGTGAGACAGAGATAGCGAGTGTATAGAGATAGAGACAGATTCAGAGATATAAAGATAAAAAGATAAAAGGAATATATGAGAGAAACAGAGATAAGGACAGAGAGCAACAGAGGCAGAAAAAGAGAAACAGAGAGAAGAGAGAGACAATGAGACGTGAGAAACAGAAACAATGAAGGAGGGACATAGAGAAAAGAGAGACAGAGAGAAGGAGAGAGAGAGACAGAGAAAGAGAGAGAGATAAACAGAGGAGAGAAACAGCGAGAGGAGAGACAGCGAGAGGAGAGAAACAGCGAGAGGAGAGAAACAGAAAGAGGAGAGCAATAGCGGAAGGAGAGAAACAGAGAGAGGAGAGAAACAAAGAGAGAGGAGAGACACAGAGGAAAGAAACAGAGAGAGGCGTGACAGAGAATGATTGAGACAAACAGAGGAGACAATGAGGAAAAAAGAAACAGAGAGAAGGATAGTCAGAGACAGACAGAGAATGGAGTGACATAGAGACGAGAGAGAGAGAGGGGGGAGAGAGAGAAAGGAATGGAAAGAACGTACCGAAAGGAAGAAATACCAACTGCTGTATGGATCATCAATCACCAACTTTCAACTATTTCTACTTGGGATAGGAGATAGCAGGTCACATTTGAGGTTGAGAAGATACAAGCGATGATGATAAATAGACTGCACATGGCAAATCGTACATGCTTGTAAATGGGTGGCAAAACCCCAGCGTTCACAAATGAAACTGACATCTTGGGAATGAAGTTCGCCTCTTCAATGACAATGAAGAGCCATGTGCTTAACCTAGCTCAAAAGGCAGCCAGGATACTAACAGTCCTATGGCGCATCTCACACCTTCTTGACAGTAAGAGGCTGCAAAATCTTTGTGGCTTGCAATGGCTTCTTGCCAGTGGACATTGACACCCTCACGGATGAGTGAGGAGTGTCAACAGAGTGTGTTGAGACACAGCCCGAGTGCAACAAATGTTGCAACAGTTCACTCAGGCGTTCCTTGAGGTGCAGAACACCAGCTTCCATACCGTTGATGAAGTTTATGGAAGTGACCACGGGGACGAGGAAGTTCCATTGTCGGGGGGGTTGTCAGGGTGTCATGGGGTGTGTCAGTAAATACACCGTGGGATATGGATGGGAAGTCGCGACCTCTACCCAAGATCCGAATTTAATCCTTCAGTAAAGGAAGTGTTTAATCTGTAGTTAGATGCCGGAATTTCCTGCCAGGATGGAGACTGTACAACCTCAGGAGGAATTAACTTTAGATCACCTGACAGGTCAAGCAGAGACTCTGGATCCCGAGGGTGACAGCAAAGCCAAGTTTGTGGCTGTGTTATGGAATGCTCAGTAGGATAGGCTGTCTCAGGGGAAGATTGCAACATTGCAATCTCACGCAGGGAAGCGAAATCAAACCCACTCTATTGCGCCTGACTAGGTTGTACAAGTTATGAAGGTAAAGAGGCCACGCAATGTTTGATGACAAAGTCGACTTGATGGAAGCATACAGCGGTCATTTTGAAAGAATGGCTGCCAAAGCAGAGTGGAAGATCAGAATGGGCTGGAGCACTGGTTACATTGTTGAAAGGGCATGCTTTAGAGATCTACCATGGTTTAGGTCCCCAGCAGCACAGTGATTTTGACTCATTAAAGATTGCCTTGGTGAAGGGTTATGGTATATCCGCTGATGGAATGATGAGTACATTCCGACGGACCAAGTTAAGCAACCCAGGGGTCAGGAACCCTAATGCTTTTATTGCAATATACTTGGTATACATGGTCACCGAGCAGCTCTGTGCCTTTCATGCACTGAGCCAGGCATGAAGGTGACCAATGCACAGATTGCAGGAATTTGCTCACTAGGAGAGAGAAACGTCTTACAGCAAACTCTGGAAATAGCACAGGGGATAGTTATTGGTCAGAGGACCAAGGTCTCTAGAGACTGAGGGGCACCACTAACATGGTCCAGGAGAGTCTTGTTAGACTTGGGAACAAGACAGTTCGGTGTATCTGTGTAAGGTATCCTGAGGGAGATGATCAGGGTGTTCCTGATTGTGGACACCACATATGTCAAGAGTAAGATACAGGCGGTGCAAAGCAAGCAGGCCGTATATGGGTTATCAGAAGGGAATACCCCAGGAGTAATAGACCAGAAGGGTATGGCCTGTGAAAATGACCCAGAGGAAACAGGAACAGCTAGGCATGAGCAAGACCAATTAGCTGGTGGTGACGTCACGGGATATCCAGTTGGTTGAGGCAAGGCCGACACAGCCCAGAGATAAGAATGGAGGCATTAGGTAGAAGGAAACTGGAGAAGTTCCTCCTCTTCCTTCCTTAGAAAACGGGGACTCATTCAGGTATACCAGAGCGATCCACGCTAGCTGATTGTGACGTCACGCACCGGCCAACTGCCCGACCCAAGGTCGCCACTTCCCTGGGAAAAGAACAGTTGCACCAGGCTAAATGAAAATACAGCAGTTCCTCTCCTTTCTGTCCACAGAACCTGGGAAGGGCTCCTGCGAGGCGGGTGAGGCCTGGATCAGCTGATCATGCCAAGAACCGCCAGTCTGCTGGACTAGAAACGGTTATCACCACTCAGGAAGATAATCGTCTGATTGATGTCACTACCGCTTCTACGGGTGGCAAGACTTTGGTAGCTGTGCTGCCCGCCGCCGAAATGAGTGCGCCACACCAATCTCTCATGCCATAAGAGTAAACTCTGTCAAGCCAGAGATTGCTGAGAGTTTAGAGGGAGAGCAGGGAAGTGACCCCATGCTCAGTGAGGAAAGAGGTCGGGCAGCAGAAGAGGAGACCTCCACTCCGATAACTCAGTTGGTAGAGCAAGCCGGTCTGAGATTGACAGATAGACAGGAAGAGAGATCCTGTCAACACATTGAAAAGACAGAAGGACAACTGTCAGATAAGTCTGTATTGTCTGAGGGAAGTGAAGAGAATACTTCACCTGTGGTTCCATTCCAGAGGGTTGCGTGTCTGGTATGACACCGACTTTGGATGGTAATATGGAGCTCAGTGATAGAAATAGTTGGGAGGTGTTGAACTGGCCAGGAACTAGAACTGAAGCCGAACATGACACAGCCTTTCCTCCGCTCCAAGGTCAGGCAGCACCACCACCAAGGGTGACCTGGTGGTAGTGCACAGAGATCCTCAGACAGAAACATAGAAAGTAGAGTTCACTCTCACACAACACTCAGTAGCCTGTGCACCTGTCGGCCAGGTGTGTGCACAGTAGAAACTAGCTGTTGTTGTGAATGTATATCACTTCCAGCAAAATATATTCTTAAGGGGGGGGGGGGTTGTGTGAGGGGATGGAATTTCCAGTGAGCTGCTAGACTGCATTAACCTAGTTGTACTCACCTAGTTGTGCTTGAGGGGGTTGAGCTCTGGCTCTTTGGTCCCGCCTCTAACCTGCCAATCAACTGAACAGATTCCTGAGCCTACTGGGCTCTATCATATCTATGTTTGAAACTGTGTATGGAATCTGCCTCCAGCAGATCACTGCCTAATGCATTCCATCTGTTAACTACTCTGACACTGAAAAAGTTCTTTCTAACGTCCCTGTGGCTCATTTGGGTACTCAGTTTCAACCTGTTTACCCTTGTTCGAGTATCCCCTATGTTAAACAATTTATCTTTATCTACCCTGTCGATTCCTCTTACAATTTTGTAGGTGGTGATCATGTCTCGCCGAGCTCTCCTTCCTATCTTCCAGCGACGTTAGGTTCATTTCATGCAGCCTTTTCTCGTAACTCATGCCACTTAGTTCTGGGACTAGCCTAGTGGCATACCATTGAACTTTTTCCAGCTTGGTCCTGTGCTTAACAAGATACGGGCTCCATGCTGGGGCCGCATACTCCAGGATTGGTCTTACATATAAGGTATACAAGGTTCTAAATGAATCCTTACAAAGGTTACTGAAGGCAGTTCTGATGTTAGCCAGCCTCGCATACGATGCCGATGTCA